CAACCCAACCCCACCTCAGCCTCATTCTCATTTCTCTACCACCGCCACTCGTTATGGACGCCACTCTACTCCTCCACCGACCCGCCGTTGCCGCCACCTCCCCCAAGCCTAAGCCCAAACGTCCTTGCTGCTCCCCCGAGCCTAGACCCATACCAATCCCGAACCAAAATCCCGTCGATATGCTTCTGGAATCATGTTTAGCTCTCTTAGATTCATCTACTGTCAACCTGGACCTTGCGTTTGACCGCATACTCGATTCCAGTGCTTGCGATTCCGACAAAAATTATATGATCGAACGCGCACTCCGACTCGGTTCCGCACTCACCGAGGCTGCCATGAGATCCACCAGAAAGCGCGCTTCCATGCATAACTCCGTCGCTTGGGCCCTCTCTCCCGATCTCACTATCAAAGTTCGTAAAATCTGTAATTGGTTTTTTCGATTATCGAAAATCTCGTGGTGCCGTTTCTGTATTTATGGTATTCATAATATCATTATTTATCTGGATCATCGATCGTTCTCAGTGATTGCTAATTGGAGGGCTTGCAATCTATTAGTTGGGTAAAACCATTTTGTCAATTGAAAACCAATTGAATCTCTTGAGCCTACAAGTTGAGCAGAAGCCGTTGCAATTTCTTTAGCTTTTTAATCCTAATAGTCTCTAAGTATAATTTTATGCCTGCTGTGGCATATCTCATGCCATTGTGTGTGTGCTTTTTTTCTGGTTTCCACTTTCCAGTGTTTATATTGTTACTTTTTTGCCTTTTGGTTTCCAGTGTTTATTCACTGTTTTTTGTTCCATGAATTTGTCAATGTGATAGTGGCCAGATACATGCACAGGAATCACTCTTGATTTTTTTCTTGTTCTTAATTATTAGGTGATCCATGTTATCAGTGTGGACAGCTGTTTAAATGCGTTTCACTCCTGTGATTGTGAATAGTCTATTTTGGAGTTAAAAAATGTTATCATGATAAATATTTACTAGACCTTTGTGGTTTGATCTAATAAGTTTGTTGTGCATTTTGCTTTTTGCAGGTTTTTTCTTTGCTTGATACACAAAGTGTATGTCATGCTGCAGCTGCATGTTCCTTTTTCCGTAAGTGTGCTGCAGACCCTTTATGCTATTCCAATATTGATTTGACGACGGTAGTCCCAAAGGTCAACAATATGGTCGTTTCAACAATGATTCAACGTGCTGGAAAAGTTTTACGGTACGATACGCGCATAGATAAATAGAAATGTTGGATATTACCCACTATATTCAATTAGCTTGATGAATGAAGTTCTGTTCATGGCAGTAGCCGTATTATTGTAGTCATTACATATTCACATCTTGGGCTGGATTCCATCATGCTACATGTTTCAGGAATCTTGACAAAAATGTGCATTTATCCTGTATAAGTATCTGTGCTCTGTTTTAGTATTTGTCTCGTATCTTAGAAATGACACCCAACTGTCCTAAGTAACAATGGGAGTACTGCTCCTTAAAATACGTAAATTTCATTTAGCCCCTGTTTGAACCCATTTTGAAAAAAAAAAAAATTGAAACAGTGATTGATGGAAGAATATGTGGTTGAAAAGTAATGAGAATTTTTGGATTTATGTGTAGTATTATTTTATTGATAGAATGTGTGGTTGAAATGAAGAAAGGAAAAAAAATGAGAATGAGAAATAAATGGGTTTCAAACGGGGGCTTAGTGTTGCAATGGGTAAATTCCATTCATGATAAACAATTTTTAGTAGCAGTTAATAAATGACGGTAATTACGCATGGCCTTTAGTCGTTAGCGTGGAATAAGTGTAACTGCAGTGAAATAATTGACAACTATCGTTGTTGTTTGCCACGTCTTCTATTCCGTCAGTTTAAATACCAGATTGAAATCAAATTAAGTCTTGTTACCCAATTGAACAAAATTGAAATACAGTTACCTAATTGATACTAGAGTAAAAATGTACTTACCTCGAATGGAACTTATCCATACTGGTGCCTCTTTTGGTCCATCCTTTTGTACCCATTTTTACTTCAAGCTGAAGTTTCACATATTGTTGCCATGCATATTCCATTTGGTATCTAAGTGTCTCTTGGTACAGATACGGCAGCCAGACTCGTAATTTCTGTGAGATACTATTTCTGCTGAAGACATGGCACCAATAGTATCTATGCTTCTGAAAGTTCTTCACATATGAGAAATTTTTGTGTTTGTCCTTACAAAATGTGTTGGCATTTTAATAAACACAGGTCTCTTAAGCTCGGGGTTGTTCCCAGCCCCCCTAATTCATCAGTGGGTACTTCTCAAGCACTTGTTTATTCCATGAGGAATACGACTGATGCATCAGGATTTTCGTGGAATGATAAGAGGTCTAGACAGGGTAAAGAGTCATTTATTCTTTCAAGGTCGTGCTTGGCACCGTTGATTGTTGATGGTGGTGCTCCAGGGTAACAAATGAAGCTTTGACTCTATTAATCATTGTATGTTTGTTGTTTATGTATTAAGCGTGTTTCTTTTTCCACCATTTTAAGGGCTCTTTTGAGAAGGTTACATCTTTACAATATTGAAAGAATGGACAACACGGCATTTGGTGTAGCATTATCTGCTTGCCCCTCTCTGCTTGATCTTGAAATTGTTGGCCTGTAAGTATGAAATTACTTGTTTCTTCCATTGTATTCTGAATGCTTATACACTCTCTGATGCATACTGAATAATTTTTTTGATATGTACTTAATAATTATATGTTCAGATTTTAGTCCCTTTGTTCGGCATTGCTGGATGATTAGCAGGTTTATAAAAATAGAGACATCAACTGTCTAAAACTATTTGTTAATATTTACTTTTTTTAGTGTGGAGGATAGGGAAGAAATGATGTGGTCAGAGGAACTCTTAGTTTGTGTAGATTAGCACCTAGGGGACATTTCTCTTTGTTTACTATTTTTTAGTTCACCTTTTTGGTAGAGGGAGTTTGATTTAGTACGCATCATGTCATCCAGTTTCCAGAATTTGTCAAACTACCTGTCTATAGTGGCTAAGTAAATATTTCTGTTGGTTTGATGAGGATGATTCGCTATATAATTCTTAACGTTAATAATTGCAGAACTAGATGAGAATACTTATATGTTTTGATTTCAGGGAATTACAGCTTAGTCACTTGCAATTCTAGGTATCCCCAACAACATTCTTGTGCTATTTTGTACATATATCAAGAGGATTATGTAAAAGCAGTGTTAAATTACGAAGTTCTTTTTAATTACTTTTCCAAAGTAACTCTTGTAGGGCTTCTAACAAAAAAACTCTATTTATTCACACTTTGTTCTAGTGCAGTATTTACAAGGAAACTTGGAAAAAAGAGTTTTTAGACGGACGATAATCATTTTGAGACTTGTAATTTGATAGAATAGGCATTTGTTTATGATGAGGGCTTGTAGAATTGTCATTTTGACTTTTTTGGAAGTTAATTTTTGAATTAGTTGTTATCTTTGTGTATCATTTTTGAGCTGTAATGCTGTCAGCCTTGTGGTAATACTATGAATGGTGCAGTATGTGGCTAGACTTCACGTTCGTGTAACTCTTGGTATTGGTCTTGATGTGTCTGTTTTATCTTTTTGTTTATTTATAACTATTGCCAAATATTTGGTGACATAAGGGACTGGGCCTTTCTATGGCCCATGGAGTAGGTAATGATGGCCATGACCCTTTCTGGTACCTGCAAAGGTTAAATGATTATTATCTTTGACTCATTCAAAAATTTATCTCAGTTGATCTCTAAAAATTATTTATTGCCTTCTCAGCTTGTATTAATGTTTTTTTACCAGTAACCTTGGTAACAAAAGATAACTTTTACTACTTTTTATGAGAATTCATTTTTCTTGTGATATAGTCATGTGGAACTGAGGCAGACGTTGGAGTCGGTGAGCAGACATTGTCATCTGATAGAGCGTCTGTTTTTTGAATCATCCAAAACAGGTGCATTTTACTCCACTTATGTTTAGCCAATATTCAGAGCCAGAAAAACATTATACTTACAATAAACTCATTTTCAGGTAGAGATGATAGTTTGAAATTGCCAACATGCAATGATCTTGTGAACAATTGTCCACATCTAACTTCATTGGCACTCAGAGGATTCAAATTGCATGACTTTAAAGCACGTGTACTTGTCAAGGTGTGGTTATATGTTAGTAGAAAGATAACAGACTTTGTTTTTTCCCTTGCAATTCAATTTTTAAGTCATAATGCAAGCTTTTTTCATCGGCCATGAGGTAAATTGTTTTATTTAAATAGAAAATGGGTTAGGTAGTAAGTTCTTTATTTCTCATTGGTCTTGTCAAGTCTTGTAAACAAAGTTGCTGCTCTTTATTGCTTGGTTTCTGCCTATCTGTGTAATGGATCAAGAGCTATCTATGGATATCGATTAGCAAGTTCTGTGGGCCAGACAACAGAATTTATGGATATTTGTTAGATACTGGGAATTTATGGTCATGATGTGTGTTGTACAAATATGTGGAATGATAATCATGCTCCAGTAGGTGTTATAATTATATAGATGGTCTTCAGTTTCCAGTGCTTGAGAAAATTCTTTGTTCAATTTCATTTTTTAACGCTTAGCTGCTGCTGCTTCTTGTTCAGTCCATCTCCGCCTTCACTTGGAGGGACTGAGTAGGCCTTTGTTTCCCAAAGGTGTTGACTAACATTGCTTGGTAAAGTCACCTGATTTATAAGATTCCTGAGCAGGAAGTGGTATTGTTGAAATAATTAGAGGAGATGCCAAGTTCAGTATCTATATTATCTTAAATGAGGATATTTTGCCTCAACGAAACTGAAGAAGATTGGTGTTGTGATGTTGGTTAAAAAATGACCTGCTTGCTAGTGTTTTGTGGCTCAAATGTAATTGTATGTAATTACACAATTTTCCTTTTTCTTTTTTCCATTTTCTTCACCCCGTGAAGGGGGGTTGGTTTAAGCACTTATGAATTTGTCATGTTCCCTTTCCAAAGTAAAAAATAACAACCATTGGATCCCCTTATGTGCTCCCTTATAAATTTTCTTTTAGCTGTGAGCCCAAATGACATTGTCCCAGGCTTATGATTTTGGGTAGAAGGGTTTATGTGTAGCTTCTTGTGGTCAAATCTAATCAGTACGCTTTGGTCAACCTTAAAGGTATCACAGAGCATTCACACGCTCCTTGTTTTAGGACATGAACGAATGGAAAAATCTCCTCATGAAAGATGCAACTCTATCCCTTTGGCTTAGTTTGCATGCTTGTTTCATGGATATTTCATTTATGAATAAAGCTGTGTGTACAGCTTTATTCTTACATTGAGGATGACATCCTCTATGTTTTCAAAATGTGGTGGGTTGTCCAATGATGTGTTCCCACGTGGCACAATGTAAAAGAAGATGTCAAAAATGATGAACATGTAGCATGACTGTTCATATATATCCCATACAAACCCTGACTAGAATCTCTTTAAAGGCGGGTATGGATATGGTTGTATAGATGAAATTCATAACCGATTGAAAGTATTGGTCATGCTGATAGGCACTTGTCCAAAGAATATTCTATAATTGTATCTTAAACTGGCCTGGCATCTCCATGCAGGGATTCCGCAAATTGAAGCATGCTGACTTTTCAACTTCCTACTCTATCACTGGTGACTTTCTTAGGTTTGTTTTCTTCTGTGAACTAGTGTCTTCCAGATGCTCCAGGACATTGCATCTAGTATATCCGTATCTGTATGCCTTAGATGATTCAATGCATGTCTTTTATCGTTCTACCTGCTATCTTCTCTAGGAATCTTGGTGGCAATGCTGGTGGATGCTCACTGGAGGCGTTGATTTTACGAGATTGCATGCATTTGAGGGAAGTAAGGGCTACAGATTCTTCTTCCATATACAAATGCATAACAAGAAGAGAATAGTACCTTTTCAATTAATCAATAACTTGTGTTATCCAGATGGAGGTTTCACGGTTGTTGTCGGCTATTCTTGCAGGACGCTTCAAGCACCTTATACATCTTGTGGGTGTAAAAACCTTCTTTTTGTATTTTTCTCTCTGCTATATGCGTTCTCTCCTGTTTCTCTTCATTAACTGTGTCTTGGACACCTCTTATACCAATTTTGGAGGATCTAACCTGGGTAATTGGTTTTGGCTGAACAGGACATATCCAATCGGGAGGGCTTAGCATCTGATGGCGATTGGTATCGTCGAACTTTCACCACAGGGTAGGTTATTTCTAGCCTGAAAAACCACCTAGTATATATGACCTGCTGTGTTCATTTATTCTAACAGTCAATATGGGACAACAATATGCAGTTTCATGTCATTAGAGCAAGTATTGGAAGAGAGGCCTAATCTGAAAATAGTGGCAGATTTCCCTGCAGAAGGAAGGTCAGTCAAGATTCTTTGACTTTGTCGATGTGCCTATGAAATTTAAGCATCTATCTATTTATTTGGGATTCTCGTCTCTGTTACGCAGTTTCCTTGAAGAACAGACAACCAGCAGTGACATGAATAGTGATATCAATTCACTTTCGTTGTTGAGTAGCCATACATCTGATGGATTGTTTACAAGTTCATCGGATAGCAGTTACAACAGTGATCAAGGTAGTGGCAATGAGGGTAGTCCAAGTTCCAGTCATGCAATTCAAGAAGAAAGTTCAGATGAAGTTGATTACTTGTAGAGACAGTCAAACACGAAGATTGGCTAAGCATGGCCACCCAATATTCTTGGTATCCCTCTCTTGCTTCCTATCTTTGACGGTCATAAATATTTGTTTAATCACTGGATAGGGTAGAACGTATCTTTATGTTGATCTTAATATACTGGTCAAATCTGATCACATAATTTTCTCCATACAGTGCTAAATTTGCCACATTCTAGGAAAGGGAAATGGGCTGTTCAATCAGTCAACAAGGAATTCCTCATTGGAACTTGTCGTATAGGGTATCAACACGTCAATTCCACCTACTCCTATGGGTGTAAACAAGCAAAGTCAAGTTGAACTATAATTTTTCATTCAATTTGTTGATGAACTTAAAACTGAGTTCGATTTAGGATTCATATTTTAACAAGCCAATCTAGAATGAGCTTTAACCTATCTATGCATGATTCGACCTCTGTTAGCTTGATGTTCTAAGTCATTATCTCTCAACTTATTGAGTTGGGCTTGATAAATTAACAAATGTAGAAATCATGAAGATTGATTTCTTATGCTCAAGCGAGCTTTTAGAGATAGATCTTGGGTCGGGATTTGAGTAGTTTGGTTTTATCAGTCTTTCATTGAAGTGAGTTTTGTCGTTTTGCAGGAACATATGTTGCAGTATATGGTAGTGCTAAAGCACTAAAGGAAGACTGAGGGAGCAATTTCATCGTTTCATCAGTCTTGCAAACGATTATTGAAAATTAAGCTATTGAGGGGTATCGTGGGCTTGTCAAAATTATGAGGGGATTTTCTGCCAAGTTTAGAACACACTGAGCATATAAGCATCATGGTTGCTGGTGATATTAGTATCTAACTGGAGGTATTGTTGCCCATCAATTTAAAGTTTTGCAATTAGATTTCAAATGCACCTACTTTTGATAATAAAACATCTGAGTCAAAATTCATTTATTCGGCATGAATTATAATATCTATGCTATCAAAATATTGGAGTATAACAAACTCCAATATTGGGGTTCAACCTTTTTTTTTGGAACTCCGATGTGATTTTAACCGATGATATTGACATAAATAGAATTTATTTATGATTTTTAAGAACTAAAAGATCTCTAAAATGAAGCGGATGAGATACAATTTTGGAGCATGCCAGCAACATCAACGAACCAAACCTCGAATTTGCCTGATGTTTTGTAGCACTAATGGTGTTAGATAGTATTATTCATAAAAGGAGATATTTTGCAAAATAACATCATTTTTTGTCGTTTGGTATCGCTCCCATCTTAGTATGGTGCAATTGCATGCTCAGTATACGAAGTTTCCTAATTGGGAATTGACTCATCTTGTAGGATTTATAATTTGAGTTCAGTTCAAATAACTTGTCTCTGTTACTTTATCCATAATGTCCTAATGCTAATAGTATTCACTAATGTTTTCACTAGGGCGGTAAATGGACCGGATCTGCCTATATCTAATCCGATAAGATAATTATCCGATTCGATCCGATCTGATAATTCAACGGATATTTGGTTGTTAAATTCATATCCGTTTGCTATGTTATTGGATATCCAATTCGACAATCCGGCCTGAAATTAAAGAAATTAGGAAAAAAAAATGTTGGAATCAGCTTATTTCTTTCTTTTTTTTTTCCAATTTTTCCAATTCTTAAACGGATTTAATAATTATAAAATTTTTAAATTTTTTTTATGTTTTGAAATTGATAGACTTTTTTATTCTAAATTTATTTATTTTAGTTGCAAATAACATGTCATAAAAATATTTTATCGATTCAATTATTTATAACAAATCGGGTTGGATTGATCTATATCCATATTTGATTCATTCAGTTAATGGATTATCGGATTAGGATCTTGATCGGGTTATCGGATTGAGATCCTAAATTCATATCCCATTAATTTCATCAGATTGGGATCAAAATTCAATCCATTGACGGTCCTAGTTTGCACCAACATATATGGTGGATTTAGGTGAATGAATTGTCTTAGTAGCGTATAATTCATTTTTGTGTTAAATTTCAAGTTATTTTTGAAGTATTTTTCTGAACCATTTAATATTAACGCTTACACCATTGATCACTTGGTAAAAATAATAAATCGGTTTGAAAGGATTGATTTTAAAGTTTATACAGACTTGAAACGCCGTTAATGGAAATGTTTCGATAACATTTTTGTTCCACCATGTTCTGATCTCAGGTTGGTTATCTCTGTCATTAATTTCTTTTACGATTATTAATGGAAATAAAGAAAATGAAAAATATGTAACAAAATTTAAATTCGTTGACCTTTTTAGAGAAAATTGATTAATAGAAATGTGAGAAGTTAAGAATATTAGTTGCACAAATGCAATAGTCTTGTATTCTCGATTTTCTACCGTGTTTGCAACTCTAAAATCTTCAGACGACGATTACAGTCAAAGTCAACTCAAAATTGATTGACCAAAAGAGTTTCTTTATTACTTAAATAAATCCTACACTTAATCCAAAAGAAGGAAAACGAGTACAAATGTGTGCAAAAAGCTGAGACAAATTTATCGACATACATCGGTACTCTCAATGGAACTATAGTAACATTTTTATGTCTGTCCGTCTATAATGTATTGACAAAATGAAATATCGCAAGTGGAAAAGGTTTTACGAAAACAAATTTGTACTTGTCTGGATAGATTAAACATTGTATTAAAATAACAAATTCAACTTATATTATGCACTATTGAATAAAAAGTTTATGTTTGCGGGACTTTATAGCAGTGTTCTAAAATGCGCTGTCTAGGCGCGATACGTGGTGAAAACGCATCGAATTTGGCGCTCCACTAACCCCTTGNACGAAACGCATTATGACGCATATTCTTCGCATTGACACGCTTAACTTGTGATTCTTAATTCTCGATCTCGACGTATCGCAACGTAATGCAACATTTTACGCCTTTTAGAACACTGCTTTATAGAAGAATTATTATAATGTAATTAAAATAACCTGAATCAACTCATTGATATAATGTCTATGTTACATTTAAATAAAAGTCAGATTTTTATAAATGACGATGACTTTGCCCTTGTTTGGTGGGAATTAAAATCAAATTTTTAGTAAATTTTGACAGAAATTGATGAAATTTGCTATTGAAAAGTTGTGAACATTACAAAATTATGGTTACAATTAATTGTTGATTTTGACTTGAATTAAAATCTTGATTTTAATCCCTACCAAACAGAGCAAAATATATGATTGGAAAGTTGTGTCCCATTAAAATTGTGATTTGGCAGCTTTCCTTCCTTTTATTTTAGATTTAAAATTATTAGACAATATAAAATTGAACGGGGTTCGACATTTTAGTCATTTCTATATTAGTTCGACGTATTAAAATGACTAACACGGTTAGGACATTTTGTAACACTATATTAGGGTTTCTTTGAGTCCCCTTTTTCGATAATAGAATTTGTTGAATAATAGAATTTTGTAACACTATATTAGGGTTTCTTTGAGTCCCCTGTTTTTGAATATTAGATTTTTTAATAGTGATTTGTTGAAAAATGTGTAATTAAAAAAAAAAAAAAAAATTAGGTTTGTGTAAGACAAGATGGATATGAGCATCTGAATCTGATCCTTATATTGTGGTTTCTCACATACGTCACTTTGCTTGGAATAACAGTTCCATTTAAACAAACATTGCGTCTCCACTTTGTCCTCTCCCTGGTCATCTCATTGTTGTGATTATGTTCTCAAGGAATAAGATTATGATAAAAGACTAATTTTTTTTCTTCACGTATGAACATCTGCACAATGAAACGCATGTGCATGCGCACTATTGCGAGATTCAGTACAGAGAGTACAGCAGAATTTTGATAGGTGAGGAGGCACAATAAATTTGAACTTGGTTTCTTTTAACCAAATCACACTACAACAAAAATAGCCATTCGCAACATTAAAAAGGCAACATTTGATGTTGCCAACAAATGTTGCCAAAAGGGTCTTTCGGCAACATTTTAGTAAGTAAATGTTGCCATTGGTTAATATAAATGAGTTTTGGCAACATTTTTTAGAGGAACGTTGCGAAAAGGACCTTTTGCAACGTTTATGGAGTGTTGCGGAAGGTGGGACATTTCGCAACGTTTGTTCGAAAGGTCCCACTTTTCGCAACATTTAATAAACGTTGCCAAAAGTTTCAACGCTTATTTAGAAAAGTTTCAACCCTTATTCACTCCTCCCTAGTTAACCCAAACCTACCCTTGCCAAAATGCCGCCTTGACAAAAC